GGGCGGGGGCGGGGCCATCCCATCCTCCCCCCCACCCCAACGGCGCGAGCTGGGGCAGCGTGGGAGCTGTCAGCGCCGGGAGCGGGTAAGTGGGGAGGCCGCGGGGCCCAAACCAGGGGGGCACCTCCCCCCAGGTGCACCCCCACCGGGAAGCGGCCCCCGACGCACGTGCGGACGGTCGGCGCTCAGGCTCCTGGCGGTCTCCACCCTGCCTGAGGTGGGAGTAGGGCAGGGTAGGGCCTCCCCCCCGGGGGACAGCGGGGAAACCCAGGTCAGCCCCCGGGATCCGGAGGAAAAGGCCGTGGGGACGGGCGGCAGAGATGCTGCTGCTGCCTTTCCTCAGCCCTTCGCAAAACAGCTGTCGCCCTCCCCGTGCTGGCTGCTGGGTGAACGGGAGAGCGGGCGCCGGGGACCCGCCGCGTGCCGGTGACGTTGTTGGAAATTAAACTAACTCCAGCCCCGGATTGTGCTGGGGTGGGTTTTTTCCTTCTGCTTCTGTCTTCAAAAAAGGCTGCGGGGACACGGTCTTTCCTTCTCTGAATGATTCAGCCTAGAAGCATTTATTTCATTTTATTGTTTTGGCAAGTCCACAGGATCGCTTTAGGGAAGTCGTTCCCACCAAGAAAGCAGAAAAGGAAAGGGGGTAAATCCTGATTTGAGTGTCGCATGTGCAAGCCCAGCCTCGTCAGGATCCAACTTTCTAAACGGCTCGATAATGGAGAGCCTGGAGGGTCATCTGGCTGTCAAGCAAATGTAAATTTTGAAAGGGGTGGGGGTTGTAGCTGGGTTGGTCTAAGGAGATAAGGCAGACAAGGTTTTCTGGGTGAATCTGATCTCTTTTATTAGACCAACTTTAAATCGTTGGTAAAAAAAAAAACCCAGCTATTTAAGTTGATTTAATAAAAGAGATCAGATTCACCCAAAAAACCTTGTCTGCCACTGTTAACTTCGAATGGCTTTTTCACTGGCTCTGTCCTGAATACGTGCGGGTACCATCGGGATGCTTGCGATTCTTGGCATCCACTTCCTTTTTATAGGAAATGGGGCATGAAAGCTTTGGTGTCAAGCTTGTAAAAGAAACAAACAAAACATTGCATGGAGGCTGCAAAGAGATAGAAAGGGTATAAAGGTTAATTTGTGCCCTGTCCTTAAGAGTTTCTGATATTATTTTTTTTTTAACGATGGTCAGGGATGCACTCAAGCTATCCCTTGAATTCATACACTTCATATGCAGAGACTTGTGTGGTACAGGTCTAATAATCGGTGTTTTTAAAGCAGTCTGAAATGTAAGAGGCTGGGGAGGTAAGGGATCTCCTGTAAGATGTAGAGCAGCTTCCACTCCTGTTGGGGCAGGCTTCACCTACATCTAATCAAGTCAGGATCATTCCCTCCTAAATATCCAATTATTGGAAATTGGGGCAGAAAATAAGTCTCTGGCTGGCAACTTGCACAGGACTTCTTTGCCCAGGGTTCTGTATGGGCCGTTCAGGAGTTGCACTTCTACACAAATAAGATTCACATGCTTGAGACTTTGCTCTCTTGACAGTTAAATGCTTTTTTGGAGGCTACTTGCTCCTCAGTGTGTGGTTGTGTAGCATTTCTGTAGCACCTCCTGAAATTACTGGGTGTTAGAGGCAATATAAACGTAAAGCTTTATGTTACTCAGCCTGTTTGTGTATAGAAGTGGCAAAAGTATCAGAAGCTGACACTCTTCTGAGTTCTAGGGTCCCCCTTGCTCTCCTCCCCACTCCAGCTGATTTCTTAGGAGTATTGGGGCAATATTTTTTTTTCTGTAAAAGCTTCCTAGTGTACGTGAGGCTTGTGTTTGTGCTCCTGGGACTTTCTGCTTGGAAGAGAAGGCGGAGGGAGATGGTATGGGCCCCAGCACACTTGGTGTAACTCATGTGGACGTAATGAGTTTACACGAGCAATAGTTCTAATGCTGGTATCCAAAATCGGTTTCTCACTGGGAATTATGAGGCATCAGCATTTATAAATGGGCCATTTATTTGTTTGTTTAATGTGAGATGAGTTAATTAGCAATCTGTTTACCTCAAGGTGAGTTTGTACTGTAGGATAGGATGACTTATCTACCTAACTATTCATCCATGTACATTCTCTGTAACAAGAGGAGGCAATATTCAGACTTATCCCAATTGGTGGATTCTCAAATGAGAATATTTGTAAACTGGAAATTTCATAGTTTCATAGTTTCATAGATTTAGGGTCGGAAGGGACCTAGTAGATCTTCTAGCCCGACCACCCGCCAGGGCGGGAGAACAACAAAAAACCCCAAAAAGAGAAACGGGACTCAAATGAGTCCAGCCAAGTAGGCATCCAGCCTCTTCTTAAAGACCCCCAGGGTAGGGGCCAGCACCACTTCCCTTGGAAGTTGGTTCCAGCTCCTAGCCGCCCTAAC